GAAACGAGCTTCCTATAACTTTCTCAGCTGTCCTTACCACTCTCTGTATGGACCTTCCATCCTGAATCACGGGAAGCGAGCTTCCTATAACCTTCTCAGCTGTTCTTACCACTCTCTGTATGGACCTTCCATCCTGAATCACGGGAAGCGAGCTTCCTATAATCTTCTCAGCTGTCCTCACCACTCTCTGTATGGACCTGACTCGCAGGAAACGAGCTTCCTATAACTTTCTCAGCTGTCCTTACCACTCTCTGTATGGACCTTCCATCCTGAATCACGGGAAGCGAGCTTCCTATAATCTTCTCAGCTGTCCTCACCACTCTCTGTATGGACCTTCTATCTGAGGCTCTGCTACCACCAAGCCAGACAGTGATGCAGTTTGTTAAGACACTCTCCATCGTACCTCTGTCAGAAGTGGCTGGGACAGAAGGAGAAAGATGTGCTCTCCTCATCCGACACAAGAAATGCAGACGCTGGTTTGCACGCTTCACTAAAGATAACGTATGAAGGGACCGTCAGATGGTTAGTTGGCTGCACTCCCAGGTACTTAAAATGGGACCAGTATTTCTGTGTTTTAGCAAGGGGGTTCTTAAGTGAGTTGTGCTCAATTTTACGACCTTTTTTTGCCGTAGTTGTTAAGCGAACCCCTGCGGTCGTTAGGCGAATCACGCGGTCGTTAAGCGAATCTGGCTTTCCCCCATTGACTTTTAGGTTAGGAAGGTTGCAAATGGCAATCACCTGAATGTGTGAATGTCGTAAATCCATGCCAGTTGCCAAGCACCCAAATTTTGATTACGTGACCACAGAGAGGCAGCATCGGTTACAACTGCAAGGATTGCTTCTAAGTCCCTTTTTTTCCAGGGCCGTCGCAACATTAAACGTTCCGTTAACTAATGGTTGCAACCTGAGGATTTCCTGTGTGGTTGCAACCTGAGGACTGCCTGTGTAATGTTGCTTGCAGCTTGTAAGGTTTATTTCTTTTTTTAACAATATTTAATAGTAGTAGTAGTAGTAGTAGTAGTAGTAGTAGTAGTAGTAGTAGTAGTAGTAGTAGTAGTAAAGTTGGAAGGGATCTTGGAGGTCATCAAGTCCAACCCCCTGCTCAGGCAGGAAACCCTATACCATTTCAGACAAATGGCTGTCCAGTCTCTTCTTAAAAACTTCCAGTGTTGGAGCATTCACCGCTTCTGGAGGCAGGTTGTTCCACTGGTTAATTGTTCTCACTGTCAGGAAATTTCTCCTTAGTTCCAGGTTGCTTCTCTCCTTGATTAGTGTCCACCCGTTGCTTCTTGTCCTGCCTTCAGGCGCTTTGGAGAATAGCTTGACTCCCTCTTCTTTATGGCAGCCCCTGAGATATTGGAACACTGCTATCATGTCCCCCCTCGTCCTTCTCTTCATTAAACTAGACATTAGCCAATTCCAGCAACCGTTCCTTATATGTTTTAGCCTCCAGTCCCCCAATCATCTTTGTTGCTCTTCTCTGCACTCTTTCTAGAGTCTCAACATCTTTTTTTACATCGTGGTGACCAAAACTGGATGCCGCATTGCAAGTGTGGCCTTACCAAGGCCTTGTAAAGTGGTATTAGCACTTCACCTGATCTTGATTCCATCCCTCTGTTAATGCAGCCTAGCACTGTGTTGGCCTTTATTAGGTTTTATCAAGGTAGGGGAGGGATAGGGTCAATATGGGTATTGGGGTTCAGGGTAGGGTTCAGGGATGGGGTTAGGATAAGGGTAGGTACAACAATGGGGTTACCCCCCCAGTAACATTTCCACGCTTTAGCAAGCAGACTATTGTCCGGATGCAAGTATTCAATAACAATAATTAGTATGATAGCAAATGGCTATAAGCAATAAAAATAACAGTGATCATAAAGCATATCAATTAATCAATAAATATCATCCATCTTGTTAAAGTTCACCATCATTTCTCGCTCGTTCGCTTTGCTAAACCATTGGTAGAAATTTTCCCATGTTTTAAAATCGACTGAGTCTTCTTTCTCTTTAATTTCTAAAGTTAATCTGTCCATTTCTGCACATTCTTAAGATTTTCCTAATTATGATCTCGTCAGATGGTGTGTTTTCATTTTTCCAATATTGAGCAAATGCTATTCTCGCAGCTGTAATATTAGAGAATGTATTATTAAAATATTCATTCTCTTTCCCATAATTGGATCCTAATATTCCTAACAAAAACAGTTCTGGCTTAAATTCTATCTTTATTTCAGTCATCTTTTCCAGCCGTATATGAACCTTAAACCAAAATTATTATTTTTTTCACTAGGACATACCCACCAGATATGGTAATAGGTACCTGGATTTTGCTTACGCTTCCAACAATTATTCGAAACATTTTAAAACATTTTCGCTCATCTTACTGGGGTCATGTGCCATCGATAAAACATTTTATATAAATCTTATTTCTTGATTAAATTTAAATGTCCTTGGGTTTCGAGGCTGAGTTCAGTCCCTGTTCACCTGTCTCTTGACGCTCCAGGTAATTTGAGGCAGCTGATTGACAGTTCTGCCCAGAGAATCGGTAGCCATCCAGTGGAAAGAGGAGAGGCATCTACAGCTGCAGAGGAGGCTCAGTCTGATCTGGGGTGCCGGTTCGTTCCCCCTTCCCTCCTTTGACGCCTCCCTTCTGCCATTTTCTCCCCCATAGGTCTCTGAGAGCCGAACGAGGCAGGAAGAAGCCCGATCTGCTGTCGGAAAGAAAATTGGAGAAGAAAAAAGGTAAAAAATAAAATAAAAATGCAGGGGCCATCTTTGGGTGACCAAGGACCTTGAGTATCGTTTACTTGCACGTCGGAGGTCATAGAGTTGATGGCAGCCTAATAATAATAATAATAATAATAATAATAATAATAATAATAATAATAATAATAATAATAAAGTTGGAAGGGACCTTGGAGGTCATCTAGTCCAACCCCCTGCTCAGGCAGGAAACCCTATACCATTTCGGACAAATGGCTGTCCAGTCTCTTCTTAAAAACTTCCAGTGTTGGAGCATTCACCACTTCTGGAGGCAGGTTGTTCCACTGGTTAATTATTCTCACTGTCAGGAAGTTTCTCCTCTGTCAACCTCTGTTGACAGAGGTTGGGCTTGAACAGAACAACAGACTGGGAAGGGACCCTGGAGATCTTCTATTCCAGCCCCCTGCTCAAGCAGGAAACCCTATCCCAGTGGTGGCGAACCTATGGCACGCGTGCCAGAGGTGGCACGCGGAGCCCTCTCTGTGGGCACGCGTCATCGCCTCAGCACACGTGGTCTCTAAAAGTTCTCCATCACTGACCTAAGGCCAGCCAGCCTGGAGCCGCCATTGGGGAGCCCACCATCCCACCCGCCAGAGACGCCCTGGATGTCCCCCAACCCTGCCCGGCTCTCACAGGTGTCCCTCCCCATAAGCAACGTCGAGGTGGCCATGCCCACCCTATCTGCCACAACTACTGCAGCCACGCCCACCCAGTCTGCCAAGCCCACTGTAGCTGCACCCGCCGAGTGGGCCACACCCACCCGGCACCCGGCGATACTAAGTGGGTTTTGGGTTGCAGTTTGGCCACTCGGTCTTTAAAAGGTTTGCCATCACTGCCCTATCCCAGTGATGGCAAACCTTTTAGAGACCGAGTGCCCAAACTGCAACCCAAAACCCATTTATGTATCGCCGGGTGCCCAGTGGGTGTGGCCCACTCGGCGGGCGCAGCTACAGTGGGCTTGGCAGACTGGGTGGGCGTGGCCACTGGATGGGTGTGGCTGCAGTAGTCATGGCAGATTGGATGGGCATGGCCGGGGTGGGCGTGGTCACCTTGACGTTGCTTATGGGGAGGGACACCTGTGGGAGCCGGGCAGGGTTGGGGGAGATCCAGGGGGTCTCTGGCGGGTGGGATGGTGGGCTCCCCAATGGTGGCTACAGGCTGGCTGGCCTTAGGCCAGTGATGGCGAACGTTTAGAGACCACGTGTGCTGGGGCGATGGCGCGTGCCCACAAAGAGGGTTCCACGTGCCACCTCTGGCACACGTGCCATAGGTTCGCCACCACTGCCCTATCCCATTCCAGATAAATGATCGTCCTGTCTCTTCTTAAAAACCCCCAATGTTGGAGCCGTCACAACTTCTGGAGGCAAGGAGTTCCACTGGCTAATTCTTCTAACTGTCAGGAAGTTTCCCCTTAGTTCCAGATTGCTTCTCTCCTTGATTAGTTTCCATCCGTTGTTTCTTGTCCTGCCTTCAGGCGCTTTGGAAAATAAATTGACCCCTTCCTCTTCTTTGTGGCAGCCCCTCAAATACTGGAACATTACTATCGTTTCCCTTTTCGAAATATTTTCAGTCTTTCCTCACGTTGGGAAGACATTGGGCTGTGGACTGTCGGCTGTCAACAGCACAGGAGGCTTCGGTTGCCACAAAAAGGGACATTTGAGAAGTGCCCAGCCAGTTTGGGCCCCCGTTGCTCTCAGCCGGGTCTTTCCATTGAGGTCATCAAGTCTAACCCTTGTTCAGTGCAGGAATCCAATTTAAAGCAGCCTCTGACTGAACCCCGTTGACAAAGGGGACATTGTAAGACTCCTTCCACTGTTGAGATTGCAAGGGGGTGGTTGGTTCAGAGAGTCAAATCAGAAGAGCCAGGACCCCTTTGATTGCCTGGACCTAGAGCAGATATATGCCTAGCCCAGGGGTCTTCAAACATGACCCTTTTATGACTGGTGGACTTCAACTCCTAGAATTCCTCAGCCAGAGTCCCTGAGGTAAATCAAAGAGTATACAGGACAAACAGAGGAAAAAAGGTGGGAAAAAGGGAAACGCCCCCTTCATACCCACAGCAACCAATCAGAGTGTAGATTGCCTCATGCATGAGTCAGCACTCTCTAATTCAGGGGTCTTCAAACTTGGCCCTTTTATGACTGGTGGACTTCAACTCCCAGAATTCCTCAGCCAGAGTCCCTGAGGTAAATCAAACAGTATACAGGACACACAGAGGAAAAAAGGCGGGAAAAAGGGAAACGCCCCCTTCATACCCACAGCAACCAATCAGAGTGTAGATTGCCTCATGCATGAGTCAGCACTCTCTAATTCAGGGGTCTTCAAACTTGGCCCTTTTATGACTGGTGGACTTCAACTCCCAGAATTCCTCAGCCAGGCACGCGTGCCTGGCTGAGGAATTCTGGGAGTTGAAGTCCACCAGTCATAAAAGGGCCAAGTTTGAAGACCCCTGGGCTAGCCAGTCAATGCCCCTGTAGAAGGAGCTGCTGTGGGAATCCATCAGGCTAGTGGGGCAGACTTTTTTAAAAAAACGTTCCTCCCCCTGCAGAACCAACCGTTGAAGAGAAGCTTCAGAAATTGCACAGCGAGATCAAGTTTGCCCTCAAAGTGGACAATCCGGTAAGGTATTTGGAGCCGGTTTGGGTCTAGTGGTTAAGTTACCAGGCTAGAAACCAGGAAGTTGGTGAGTTCTAGTCTCGCCTTAAGCATGAAAGCTGCCTCGGTGACTTTGGGCCAATCGCCAGGAGTCAGGGAGTTCTAGTCCCGCTTTTGGCCTGAAAGCCAGCTGGTGATTTGGTCCAGTCACCAGGAGATGGAGAATTCTAGTCTCGCCTTAGGCCTGAATGCCGGCTGGTGAGTTGGGCCAATCACCAGGAGATGGAGAATTCTAGTCCCACTTTAGGCATGAATGCCAGCTGGTGATTTGCTCCAATCACCAGGAGATGGGGAATTCTAGTCCCGCCTTAGGCCTGAATTCTGGCTGTTGAGTTGGGCCAATCACCAGGAGATGGAGAATTCTAGTCCCACCTTCAGCCTGAATGCCAGCTGCTGATTTGGGCCAGTCACCAGAAGATTTAAGAGTTCTAGTCTCACCTTAGGCTGGGTGATTTGGGGCCAATTACCAAGCGACCGTGAGTTCTAGTCCCGCCTCGGGCACCCAAGCCAGCTAGGTGATTCTGAGCCAATTGTCAGGAGAGGGGAGTTCTAGTCCCACCTTAGGCTTGAAAGCCAACTGGGTGACTTTTGGGCCAAGGCATCTGTCTCGGCACAACCCACCTCACAGGTTGTTGTCATGGGGAAAAGAGGAAGAAGGAGTATTATATATTTGCTGCCTTGAGTTACAAAGTCAAGAAAATTCTAATAAATCACAAAACACTCCACCTTGCTTTGCTTCCAGTTTCAGGGGCAGGAAAATCTGACTTGTTGAGTCAGACTTCAGATATATTCCCCATCTGAGTTGGCTAGCCAGTCAGCTCCTTCACATAAGCTTCAATCCCCCTTCCTAAGATAAGATAAGATAAGATAAGATAAGATAACCTTTATTGTCATTTTTTTACTGTGGGCACAACGGCACACATCAAAAATGAAATTTAGTTGCCCGCTCTCAAAAGTGAAACACATACATGACACACACCCCTAAACATACTATATACAACATGTGTATAGACCCACACGCCTACATATACATAGCAAATAAATATTAAGTACTGTCCAACGGATATTCGGCGATCCTCTTGTTCCTTTAAGTCAGTGTTTTTCAATCATGGTGACATTAAGATGGGTGGGCTTCCACTCCCAGAATTCCACTCCCAAAACCAGCATGCTTTACTTGGGTGGGCTTCCACTCCCAGAATTCCCCAGCTAGGTTTGTTTAAGATGGGTGGACTTCCACTCCCAGAATTCCCCAACCAGCGTGCTTTAAGATGGGTGGGCTTCCACTCCCACAATTCCCCAGCCAGCATGCTTTAAGATGGGTGGGCTTCCACTCCCAGAATTCCCCAGCCAGAATGGTTTGTGTTGGGTGGGCTTCCACTCCCACAATTCCCCAGCCAGAATGAATAAAGATGGGTTTCCACTCCCACAATTCCCCAGCCAGCGTGCTTTAAGATGGGTGGGCTTCCAATCCCAGAATTCCCCAGCCAGTGTGGTTTGCATTGGGTGGGCTTCCACTCCCAGAATTCCCCAGCCAGACTGCTTTACGTTGGGTGGGCTTCCGCTCCCAGAATTCCCCAGCTAGATTGCTTTAAGATGGATGCACTTCAACTCCCAGAATTCTCGGAATTGAAGTCCATACTTCTTCAAACGGGCAAGGTCAAGAAGCATCTCCTTCATTGTTGAAGGACACCTGAACATCCAGGTATATTTTTCTCCTGCTCCCCCCCCATTCTTGATTGAAGGCCGGAGTTTCTCCAATCAAGCCTGAAGGACGGCTAGCCTGGCACCGTTGCCTTGACTCCCCGTGCCCCTCCCTTCCTTCTTGCAATCTGATTCGCTGCCAGGCACGCTCTTCCCGGGACTGTAAAATCAGATCAGCCCATCTGGGGGTCCACCCACGAGGGCCGTCAGCTCACCCGATCCTCTTTTTTCCTCTTTTTTAGGACATCAAGAGGTGTCTGAGCGCGTTAGAAGAGCTGGGCAGCTTGCAGGTCACTTCGCAGATCCTCCAGAAGCACACTAACGTCGTGGCCACCCTGAAAAAGGTACGTGGGGGCCACGGAGGGTGAGAGTGGCTGTTTTCCTCTCTCCCTCCCAGCTTGGGCACTTAGTCCTCAATTTACGTCAGTTCTTTTAGCGGCCGTTCCAAACGGGGCAAAACTCACTGAACCGTCTTGCTTAGCGAGAGAAACTTTCGGCTCAAATTGTGGTCGTTACGCACGGGTAGTCCTCGACTTAACGACCGCAATTGAGCCCAAAATTTCTCTTGCTAAGTGAAACATTTTTTTTCCTTTTGACACATTTTACGCCCTTTCTTGCCACAGTGGTTAAGTGAATCATTGCAGCTGTACAGTTAGGAGCACGGTTGTTAAGTGAATCCGGCTTCCCTCCATTGACTTTGCTTGTCAGAAGGTTGCAAAAGGGGATCACGTGACACCCCCCCTCCAGGAACGCTGCGACCGTCGTAAATAGGAGTCAGTTGCCAAGTGTTCGAATTCTGATCACGTGATGGTACAACGGGACCACCGTGACCTGGATGGCTGAGAATTTCCATAGATATTTATTGACTGAGCGACACTGGCTGGGTTTAGCTAACCACATCAGCTAAAATCGAGGTGACCGAGGTGTGAAGACTAAGAAACCATCATAATAATTACAAAATAAAATAGGGATAGGGATAGGATAGACTGGTCTAGACTAGACTAGACTAGACTAAAAATAAGAATAGAAGAGAAGAAAAGAGAAGAGAGAATAGAATAGAATAGAATAACAAAATAATAAAAGAATAGAATAGAATAATAATAGAATAGAATAGAATAGAATAGAATAGAACAAAATAATAGAATAGAGTAGAATAAATGAAATAGAATAGAATAGAATTGAATAGAAAATAGAATAGAATAGAATAACAAAATAATAGAATAGAATAGAATAGAACAACAAAATAAGAATAGAATAGAATAGAAAATAGAATAGAATAACAAAATAAGAGTAGAATA